ACAATGCTGTACTCAGTTGTTTTGCTGAAATGTTTTTCTTTGTCACAAGGAAGGGCTCAATTTCAGGAGTGAGATACATTAGGAAATTATTGATATGAAACAAAAATTATCAAAACTGGAGAAAAAAATTGAAGAAGGCTGCCAAGCCACTGTTGAGGGACTCAGGCAGTTTGTGGACTGAAAAGAGCATCGGACCTAAAGTCAGAGGACCTGGGTTCAAATCCTCCTCTGCTACTTACTGGTTTTATGATTCTGAATGAGTCATTCTCTCTCTGTGTGCCTCAGTTTCCTCATTTATAAAATGAGGAGATTGAACTGATGGTTTCTTTTAGCACTGAGTCCAATGATCTTGAGATCACAAATTCTGAGCCCATCCCCTTAATCCCCCACAAAGGGATCCTGAGCCAGAATCTTTCTGGCTCTCCTACTGGGCCCATCCCCCTCCCAAGGCCCCTGGGTGGGCCCCCTCCCCAGCTGCTGGGCTGGGAGCAAGAGGGCCTGTAAAATGACCCTGTTGGGAGAGATGGAAAAAATGTTGCAGCTGGAAATGTCATGGCTTCCAATGTTTCCCTGTCCTGAGCCTGCTGGGGAGGGGGGCAGGGTAGGGAGGAGAACCTCAGAGACAGGCAGGGAGTGGTGGAGGAGACCGGGTGTTGCTGGACAGATGGTCCTGAGTGACCAGGAAAGGGAATCAGCTCCTTTTTCCAGCAAGGGGCCAAAGGAAGGGGAGGAAGGTGAAAGAAAGCCGGAGCTATAAGTGAAAATGGAGAGGGGTCGTTCCCTAAGCAGCCTGGCTCACTCCCCCATCCCCTGAGCTCTCTGCCTGGATGTCCAAACTGGAGAAGTTTAGAGAATTTCAGAGCTGGCAGAGACCCCAGAGGTCTCCCACCTGGCCTCCTTTCCAGTGAAGGGACAGTTACTCTGCCTGGTAGGGAGAGAAGGGAGTGGCCATACAGCCCCCGTCCTTCTGTTATTAGCCAAAGGGACACGGCTCTCGAAGTAGATGGGAACCAAAAAGCCTCTGGTCCAACCTGCTTATTTTGCTGAGGCCCGGTATAGTGAGCTGGCCAGGGTCACACAGCTAGCAAGCAGGTACTGAGTCTTTCCTCTGTGCTGAGTAAGGCCTTAGTCCAAGGGTTCTCAACCAGGCAGCCTTGAACTTGTCTTTTCAATATTTCAATATAATTGGTCTCCTTTGTAATCATATGTATTTTATTTTACGTGTTTGAAAACACGATTCTGAGAAAGGATCTCCAGATGGACGAAAGGGTCCATGATACAAAAAAGGTGAAGAGCACCTTCCCTACCCAGAATGCCCATTACCCTAAGGAAAACAAGAATATTTGGGAACGGTAACCAGCATTGAGTAGGTAGGTGCCACAGTGGCTAGAGTGCTGGGCCTGGAGTCAAGACCAGACTTAGGCACTTACTAGCTGCATGACCCTAATCAAGTCACTTCACCCTGTTTACCTCAGTTTCCTCATCTGTAAAATGAGCTGGAGAAGGAAATGGCAAACCACTTTAGTGTCTTTTCCAGGAAAACCCCAAATGGAGTCACAGAGAGTCAGATACAACTGAATAATAACAACAAAACAGTATAGTCCAATCTTCAGCTTCCTCTCTGGGACAATTCTTTCCCATAACTTCAAAGAGAAGGAACAATTCTCTCCCTTCCCCTTGAGGATGAAGCTTTGAGGCCTAGAATCAAAGAAGGGGGAAGGGGATTTCTGTCTCTTGAGTGTTCTGTCTGTATCCATGGTCTCTCCAAGCATCATCAGACCGGAGAGGGCTTGGCCAAGGCCAAGAAAGGGTCACATAGATGTTCAGAGAACAAAGAGCAGGATTTGTACATCGCCTAGAATATCTTTCACCAGTCAGGTGAGTTCACAAAAATAGAGACAGACAGAGACAGAAATAGAGACAGAGAGAAAGACGGAGAGGGGAAGGGATGGATTTTACTTTAAGAAGTTTGCTCTTGCTGCCCTGAGAGGAGCTGTTGGTAAAAAGGAGAATGCTGGTCACCCTGAAGTATCCGCCAGGTTCCTGATGGCTCTTCCAGATGTGATGCATAATTACAGCTGTGGCATGCACATTGCAGAGTAGTTGAAAAATTCGGTATCTGTGATGAGATCTGGCCCCGAAGTCAAGTTCTTCTAACACTCATTTGGGGGCCTCGGCTGGCTCCCTCCCCCTCCACCCTGGCTGGCCAGTAATTGCTGTAAAATGAGGAAGTCGCTCTCCAGATGCTAACCAGATGTGAGCATCCCACTCCCGCTCGACATATTTCCCGACAATAATACCCGGGTGTTACTATGGTGATAACAGATTCACCAGAGGTTTGAGCTAATGCTCAGAGAGTGTGTCTGTACCGTTACCATAGTTTTATTCTCACAACTGTGGCCCTTGGACGGTTCCCCAGCCACACCAACAGCCTGCCCTGGGGCTTGGCCGGGCTGGGCTGGGCTGCTCCTAGAGAGGCCCCTTCTTTCAGGAGGGAGGTAAGGGGTCCCTTGCTGAGATCAGGCCCCTCTTTTTGCCAAGCCTCATGGAACTCTGGCCTCCTTAGCCCCATTTCAGTCATCCTGGGGGGCTTCAGCAATCAGATTAAGACAAGAGTTCTGGCTAAACTCTTAGTTTGGGAGGGGAGGGGGAAGGAGGGGACTTTACTTCCACCAAGAGGGAGAGATCTGGGGCCCAGATTCCATCTCGCTGCTTTTAAGGCAGGACCTGGGTTCCAATGCCAAGCACTCTTTGTCAGTGTGACCTTGGACAAATCACATCCCCTATTGCCTCAGTCTCCTCCTCTGTAAAAAGAGGGAGTTGGATTCAATGACCTTCAAGGTCACTTCCAGCTCTAAATCTGTGACCTCATGCTGGACTGGGAAGCAGGGACCCAGTCTGAGCTTTGCTGATAGCTCGCAGTTTGACCTTGGATAAATGACTTCCCCTCTCTGAGACTCTCTTGTGTCCTTTCCAGCTCTAGCACGGGACCCTATCTCTCTGGATCTGGAAAGGACCTTTTAGGAATCATCTAATTTGACCTCATTTGACAGGGGAGGAAGCTAAGGCCTTGAGAGGATAAGTGACTTGCCTGTGGCCAGACAGGTAGACAGAGGTAGGACTCTGACTCTTTATAAGCCCAGTGTCCAGCATGCAGTAGGAGCTCAACTAATCATTGCTGAATTGCACTGGACTGAAGGGTGAAAGGCAGAGATCCCTCGCTGAAGGTCACTGGTCACCCTCTCCTGGGGAATCTGCCCAGTGGGTCCTTGGAGATGGGGGTAAAGAGAGAGAAGGGAACAGCTAGGGCTTGTCTGGGGAGTATGATGTCTGTCTCCTCAAGGGAAGATCCTAGCACAGCCATGCAGACTCAGCTCAGCATTGCCCCCATGGAGCCCGGCCAGGGGCACAGCCGACAGTGGGGACTTGGAGGCAGAAGCCTGGCCCTCTAAGCTCCCCACCAGCTGTCAGAAACCATCTGGGACAGATCAGCCTCAGGGGTGGGGTGGAGAATCCCAGGGCAGCCCCAGCCTCGAGGGTCACTGCCCCATCTTTGTGCTCCTCTGTGAGGCTGCTTGGCTCCCCCTACCCCCCAGGACCCAGCCCCTGGGCCTTGGGGCAGGCTGGGCGCTGGGACTCCCAGGGCGTGGGCAGCAGGAGCTCGGGGCTGAGTCACATCCGGGTTCACTCAGAGCTTTGGGCACCAGGAGGAGGAAGGGAGGAGGGAGGGAGGGAGCCAGGGCTGGGGGCGTCAGGACCGAAGCAAATACCAGCTCAAGTGACAAAGGCAAAGGAGTGGGAGGATGGGAATTAGTCACAGTAATGGGGGAGGGAGAGAAAGGAGGGGGCAGGCCCCCACTCCCTCCCTCCACCCTTCTCTTACCCTCATCCTCCTGTTTCCCCTCCTCAACAGTGGGACTGATCCTAGCCCTCAAAAGAGCTCAAGCCTCCCTCTCCCCAAGTCTGCTTCCCCTAGAAAAATGGCATCCCTGGGCTCCTTCCTACTCATGCTCCCCAAGGTCCTGAAATGGATCCCCTCTGCCCCAGCCAATTCTTTGCCTCCTTCCCTGGTAAGAAAAGGCACCATCCTGTGGTAGAGGCTGGATTTGGAATCGGGAGACCTGAGGTCAGTTTCCAGCCGACATTGACTAGCTGTGTGGCCATGGACAACTGAGCTTCAGTTTCCTCGTCATTAAAATGGGCACAACAATACTTTCACCACCTATCAAACAGGAAAGTGCTTTTATAGACTTTTAAGTGCCATAAGAATGTGGGCTCCTGTTAAATTTATCTCCAGGTAAGCCTCAGAGACTAATACCCAACCTTGTTCATCCAATTCCCTGCCCTTTCTTCCTGGTACTTATCATTAGATCACGAGATCACCATTGCCATGACCAGCTTTCTTCTCCACCTAGCCCCAGTGCATAGAGACAACGCCTCCCTGAATCTCAGCACCTGGATACCCCACCCCAGCCCCCCACTGCTCTCAATCTCCTGCCCCAACCATTTGGTCGCTGGGTCTACCCATCCCACGGCAGAACAAGCTCTAAATATGGTAGCCACCATTTGTTCAAAACGTAAAGGAGTTAAGGCCATTGTGACCTTCACTATAGCGCTGTACCTGGGTGACTGCTAGGAAGGACCTTGTCTCTCCAAACACCAGAAACAGGTAGAGAAGGAGAGAGTGGGGGATGACTAGTTGGCTGGGATGGGATGAAATTAATAAAAGAAGCCAGTTATCTACCAAGCTATTCAGTTCTTCCTCCATTTTTGAAGAAGAGCAATGACATCACTGGAGTGATGTCGTGACTTGCTGCGCGCCCATAACTAGCCAGCCTTAACAATTGTATGTCCTTAGAACCAACTAGTCTAGCCCCCCACATTTTTACAGTTGGGGAAATTGCACCTCAGGGAGGGAAAGAGACTTGTCCAAGGTCACAGAGCAACTAAGACCAGAACCAAAGCACGCTGGCTCCCAGTCCGCTGCTCTTTCTGTATTTGTAAAACGAGGACGTGAGTATCTGCTATTGTGTCAGAATTACCAGCAGCAGCTGCCAGCTCCGCTCCCTCTCCTCCTCCCTCCCCTCCACTGTTCCCAGTGCTATCTTGAGGCTTCTCAGAGCCTCAGGGGAATTTGCATGGGCTGATGCTACTCACTGGGTGGTTGGGGGAGGGAAAGGAAGATGACTAGAGTTTCAAGAGGTGTGAGCGGTTCTTCCTGAGGCTCAAAAAGACACGGCGTGAAGGACGCAGACTTAGCACTTCTCCAAGGCAGGGAAAGAGAGGACGGAATCCCAGTCACCCTGACTTGGCTGGACAGGAGAAACGACTTGACTTCATTGGAGAAGCAGTGAGCCAGCCAGGTATTCGAAAGTCTGCCCACTCACCTGAGGGGGGTCCTTCGGTGTGTTTTGGGTTAGACTTTGCATCTGACTCACAAAAGAGCTGGAACTGGGTCAGTCCTCCTAGAGGAATGTTGGACCAGGGTAGTCTGTTTCTGTAAGAGCTGTAACATTTTTTTGAGGAAGGGGATGACGGTACACAGAGGCAAGAGGTACTGGCCCAGCTTCCATGTGCAGGAGAAAGAAAGAAAAGAAAGAAAGAAAGAAAGAAAGAAAGAAAGAAAGAAAGAAAGAAAGAAAGAAAGAAAGAAAGAAAGAAAGAAAGAAAGAAAGAAAGAAAGAAAGAAAGAAAGAAAGAAAGAAAGAAAGAGAGAGAGAGAGAATGAAGGGAGGAAGGACAGAGAGAAGGAAGGAAGGAAGGAAGGAAGGAAGGAAGGAAGGAAGGAAGGAAGGAGGAAGGAAGGAAGGGAGGGAGGGAGGGAGGAAGGAAGGGAGGGAGGGAGGAAGGAAGGGAGGAAGAATTGAAGGAAGGGAAGAAAGGAAATAAGGAAGGAAAGAAAAAAGAGAGAAAGAAAGAGAGAGAGAGAGAAAGAAAAAGAAAAAAGAAAGAAGGAAGGAAATAAGAAAGAAAGAAAGAAAGAAAGAAAAGAAGGAAGAAAAGAAGGAAGAAAGAAAGGAAGGAAAGAAGGAAGGAAGGAAGAAAGAAAGAAAGAGAGAGAGAGAGAGAGAGAAAGAAAGAAAGAAAGAAAGAAAGAAAGAAAGAAAGAAAGAAAGAAAGAAAAGAAGGAAGAAAGAAAGGAAGGAAGGAAGGAAGAAGGAAGGAAGGAAGGAAGGAAGAAAGAAAGAAGAAAGAAAGAAAGAAAGAAAGAAAGGAAGGAAGGAAGGAAGGAAGGAAGGAAGGAAGGAAGGAAGGGAAGAAAGGAAGGAAGGGAAGATAGAAAGAAAAAGAAAAAAGAAAGAAGGAGGGAAGGAAGGGAAGATAGAAAGAAAGGAGAGAGAGAGAAAGAAAGAAGGAGGGAAGGAAGGAAGGAAGGAAGGAAGGAAGGAAGGAAGGAAGGAAAGATAGAAAGAAAGGAAGAATTGAAGGAAGGGAAGTAAGGAAATAAGGAAGGAAAGAAAAAAGAGAGAAAAAAAGAGAGAGAGAGAGAAAGAAAAAGAAAAAAGAAAGAAGGAAGGAAGGAAGGAAAAAGAAAGAAAGAAAGAAAGAAAGAAAGAAAGAAAGAAAGAAAGAAAGAAAGAAAGAAAGAAAGAAAGAAAGAAAGAAAGAAAGAAAGAAAGAGAAAGAAAGAAAAAATCTTTCTGAGCAAAATCAAGAGCTGCTGGAGTCATGGGGCTACTGACCAAGAAAAGGTCACATGTGAAAAAGAGGCTAAAGAAGGAGAGGAGCTTGAGCTGACTAAGAAGGGAAGTATGTAGGTGATTTGAAGGACTTTGGACTTGTGAAGAAAACTAGAGATAGGATTTGGGGAAAAGAAATTTGGGAGAATTTGAGGAAAAGCTGGATAACTCAGACAGAAGGAGAAGGGTTCGTTCTGGAAGATTCCATCTCAAGGAAGAAAAGGATTCAAGGGAATGGGTCTGAAGAGAAAGACCCAAGGCCAAGGAGAAGGGCTTTTGGTAAAGGAAAATTAGTAAGAAAGGGTAAGTGAACTAAATTAGGGATGCAGAATCAGAAGCTGCTGAGAGAAAGAAAAGGATATTGAACATGATGGCCAAGGTGTTAGGTATTACAAAAGAGGGTTAGTAAGGTGTTGGAGGGGTAACACCCACAAGTAACAAAGTGAGGCTAAAAGTCTCAATCAGTATGGAGAGCAGAGTCCATTTTGCAGTGATTTGCATGGAATATACAACATATTTCTGCTATAGCTAAATGATGTCTCCTTTCTAGGTCAGAATATTAAGGAGCTCATGGTATCCAAAGAAAAGCCCAACCATGGTAAACTTGGAACTTAAAAGAGAAAATGAAGCTCTTCCTAAAAAGGAGGGAAGTGGGCACTTTGAGGGGGAAGCCAACACTTGTCCTCCAAGAAATGGCAAAGGTGACCTACTTCTGCTGTCAACTAGTGAAATTATCCAGTGAGGACTGAAGGGGAAAGAGAGTAATGGTGGCTGGTGGTTTCCAGACAATGGTGCCAAGGTAGCTATGTGTTGACTTGCTTTAACACAAAGTTGTCTTCCTGGGGCACACATCCAAGTTATAATGGAGAACTTCACAAGATATGTTAAAATAACTAATGATTACCTACTTCTGGTGATTCATGTGGGCCCAAAGGATATGGCTAGATGGAGCCTAGAAAGCACTTGTTCAAAATCTTGAGCAAGAAACCAAAGGCTATGGGGCACAGGAAGTGTTTTCCTCATTGCTTGCCACCAGAGGCGAGGCATTCATAAGAGAAAAGTTGATTGAAGAAGTGACCACTGGCTAAGAAGAGGGTATCTGAGAATGGGATTTGGATTTTCCTAGGTTCTGGTCAGGGATGGAGGCATTAGCTTTTTATCATATCTTACAAATCTAATCAAATAATGAATTGGTTTTTTTTCTTTATATCAAGTATAAATTTACCTTTGTAGCTTCCACACATTGCCTCTTGTTCTGCTCTCAGGAATAAAGGAGAGAAAATCTAGACATTTAACCTTTTCCTATTCTTCTTTTCAGATATTTGAAGATAGCCATTGCATACTCAACTCTTCTCCATCCCAAACACTCAATTCCCTCAATGATTTTTCACATGGCAGGAACTCGAAGCCTTTTACACATCATCATTTACTGCCTTGGGATGCTTTACCAATAATTGACATCCTTCCTAAAATATGTTGCCCAAAACTGACCACTATCAGAGCAGATATGGTCTGACCGAGGCAGATCTCCACTATGACTCACATAACACACTCTAAGATCTAAGGAGAAGCCAGATCACATCATTGACTCAGACCAAGCTTTCATGCCAGGAATACTTTCAGACAAGATGAACTGCTGTAGAGTCACACTTTCCCCATTTTTAACTGTATTATTGATTTTAAAAAATGTAAGACTTCATTTATATCTGTTGAATTTCATTTTTATTTGGCTAATATTCTAACCCATCAAAGACTTCTTAGATCATTGTGTCATCTGCAAATCTGATGAACTTCCCACTTATTCCTTTAGCCAAGTCACTGACAAAAATTTGAAATACCCCTCGGCTGAGCAGAGATCTCCTGGACATGCCACTAGAGACCTTTTTCCAAGTGTACATTAAATCATTAATGACCATTCTTTGGGTTTTTCCATTTGACCAGTTTTTACTCTATCTAAATGTGCTATTATCTAGACCATATTTCTCTATATTTTCTACAAACACTGTGTTAAAAATGTTAAAATCTGGGGGCAGCTAGGTGGCGCAGTGGATGAAGCACTGGCCCTGGATTCAGGAGGACTTGAGTTCAAATCTGACCTCAGATACCTAACACTTACCAGCCGTGTGACCCTGGGCAAGTCACTTAACCCCATTGCCTAGCCAAAAGAAAACAAAACCAAAAAAAAATGTTAAAATCTAGGGAAGGTTCATCTACAGACTTTCCCCTCATCTACCAACCTCGTTATCCTGTCTAAATAGGAAATCTGGAATGTTCAGGTCTTGATGAAATCATTCTGGCTCTTGGTGATCTATGCCTCCTTTTCCAGATATCCATTAACTATCTCTTCCAGGTCACCCTAACCTGTGATTTTACAGGTAAGGAAACTGAGGCTTGGAGAGATAGGTGAAGTGACATAACTAGTGAATACTTTTTATAAGATTGGAACCCATTTCTTCCTTACTCCAGATCCAGCATTCCTTTCACCCTGAAGCAATGCCATTCATTCATCCACCCATTTGTTCATTCATCCATCCATCCAATCATTCATTTATTCACTAAGCACTTATCAAAACTTGTTACTTGCCAAGTACTATTGTCAGGTACAGAGGATGCAAAGACAACGCCAAACAGTTCCTCTGCCCTTCATGAGCTAATATCTCCCCCTTTCATGGAGCCCCAAGGTTTACCAAGCTCTATTTTCCTCACAATGCCTCCAGCACTTCATTAGTGTTTTCTCATCCCCATTTTACTGATGAGGAAACTAGGTCTTGGCAGAGAGAAGCCACCTCCTCAGGGTCACTCGGCCAGGAAATGTGGCCCAACCCAAGTCTCCCCACACACTACAGTACAATCCATACAACCATCCACAAAGGGACACATGCACTCTTCCTTTCTTCTGCTCCAAGAAGTAGAACCTGGAACCTGGACAGACTAGGAGGGGAGTGATCTGGACATCCTGGGACCTCTTTCCAGACCTGAGAGTCCCTGGCAACCACACATCCTGGGAACCTGGGGGCTTCTGGGCATAAGGCCTCCTTTACTGGGCTCTGGCAGCCTCCTCCCCCCCTCCCCCAGCAGCAGTCCCCTCCTCTACCAGCCCCTCCAGCTGGTGAGTTAGAGGCTCATTTACACTTTAAACGCTACAAGACAATAAACCTTTAATTGTCTCATCACAGCATGTTTCGAAAATGTTATGTCAGTGATTTTCCAAAAGTATTTCTGTTCCCAGGAAAATATTCTTCTCAGGACCCAAAGAGGGGTGGGGGGTGGGGAGTGGGACATGGATGGGGGGAGAGGAGGATTGGACTCTGGATCCTCAAGGATCTAATCTGAGGTTCCAGAATGTGACAATTCTCTGTACCCCCACCCCTGGGCTCCATTGTGTCCTAGAAGAGGATGGGGGACAGGGATACCAAAACTTGAGGGCTTGGAGGGTTGAGAGGTTGAGGAACTTGGGGGCTGAAGAACAGAGAGATTTGAAAGGATGAAGGGATGAGGCATTGAGGTAATTACACAGACCGTACAATCCAGTCACACTGTTCTGGACACACAACTTCATCTCCCACCATTCACACTTTGCCCAGGCCATGCCCCATGCCTGAAATTCGCTCCTCCCTCACTGCCACCACTTCATATTCCTAACTCCCTTCAGGGCTCAGCTCCAGCTCCACCTACTACATGAGGCCTTTCTTGGCAACCCCTCCTTCCCATGCTAGTACCCACCTCCTCCAAATTACCATGTATTTAATGTGTATATATACACATTATACTCATATGCATGCATTGTATCCCTCCACTCTTCCCCATGCAAATTCCTTGAACACAGGAACTGTTTGTTTTTGTCTTCATATCCCTAGTGCCTAGCACATAGTAGGTGCTTAATAAAGGTTTGTTAATTGACATTGATTGACTGATGAGGGGAATGAAGGAGCTGAGCCACTGAGGTAATTTGGATACAAAGAGCTAATTAAGCAGCAGAGAGGACAGATCGACCTTGAGGGGAAATCCTCTTTTTTTTTAAGATTCATTTATTTATTTTTGATATTCTTTTTTTTTAAAAAAAATGTTGACTTCTGAATTCTCTCCAGCCCTCCTCCATTCATTGAGAAGGCAAGAAACGTGATATCAATTATACATGTGAAATCATGCAAATCCTTACTAGCCATGCTGCAAAAAAAAAAGCAAGGAAAATAAAGAAAGCGAAAAAATTATGCTTCAATCTGCACTCAGATTCCATTTGTTTTTTTTTTCCTCTGGAGCTAGATAGCATTTTTCATCATAACTCCTTTGGAATTATCTTGGGTTGATTGTATTATCTTGTATTGATCAGAGTAGCTAAGTCTTTCCCAGTTGATCATTGGGGCTGTATTGCTTTTGCTGTATACATAGTTTTCTTGGTTCTGACCACTTCAGTTTGCATCAGTTCATATAGGTCCTTCCAGGATTTTTCTGAAACCATCCCCCTCATCGTTTCTTATAGCACACAATAGTATTCTATACAACAACTTGTTCAGCCATTCCCCAGTTGATGGGCATTCCCTTGATTTCCAATTCTTTGCCACCACAAAAGAGTGGGAAAATCCTCTTGATCTTATCCAATGTCTTTTTTTTTTTGTGGGGGGTGGTGCAAAGAGAGGACTCAGGGCAAGAGAAGACCTGCAGCAAAGAAAGACTGCTTTAGTTCTGAGGGCACCGATTGTCCTGCGAATAAATGCCTTCCCTTAGATCTACTGTCTTTGTGAAACATGGATTCATTCCAACTCCACCCCTCCATCCAATAGACTGCCAAATCTTGTCATTCCAACCAATACATCTCCTTCTCTCTGACACTGCCACCCCCTTGGAGCAGACCTTCACCACCTCCTGCCTGGACTATTGCAATAGCAGCTGGGGGCTCTGCCTGCCTCAGGTCTCTCCCTTCTCTAGTCTATCCTCCATTCAGCCACCAAAGTGATTTTCCTAAGGGGCATATTTGACCACCACACACACACACACACACACACACACACACACACACACACACACACACACACACACACACACTCCATCCCACCCCAGCTCAATAAACTCCAGTGACTCCCTATTATCTTTGGCATCAAATATAAACCGCTTGGCATTTTAAAGCTCTTACAATCTGGCCCCCTCCTACCTACCCAGTCTTCTTGCACTTGACATAGTCTCCTCTAGAATCTGCCTACAGTACTCTCAGTTCCTTAAACACAGCACCCCATCTCTTGTCTCCACACCTTTCCCTTTGCTGTTCCCCATGCCTAAAACACTCTCTGTCCTCCTCTCTGCCTCTTGGAATCTCCGTTGTCCTTCAAGACTCCGTTCAAATCCCACTTTGGGCAGGAGACCTTTCTGGGTACTCTCTGATCACCTTTTCCCCTACTTCACACCTCCCCTTCTGAGATCATCTTCCATCTCCTCTGTCTATGTTTTGTATGTGCCCAGTTATCTGCATGTTTTCTCCCCCCATTAGACTGTGAGCTCCTTGAGGGTGGAAATTGTGTTTTTGCTTTTCTTTGTGTTCTCAGCACTTAGCATAGCACCTGGCCCATAGTAGACATTTAATAAATACTTGTTGCCTGACTGACTGATCAGCTTTATGACTTTGGGGTAAGTCATTCAGCAACTTGGGTTTCAGTTTCTTCATCTGTAAAATAAGAAGAGATGAACTAGATGGGCCAAGGTCTCTTATAGCTCTAGACCTGTGATTCTTTTTGGGAAGGCCCTCTAGGCTTTGTTCCCCTCTCTGATGCCTCTGGGGAGGCCTGGGTCCCAGAAGGGAAAAATAGGAAAGGGATGTGGGGGTGGAGGGGACAAAGGATCACGGGCTTGAAGCATTTCCCTTTTCTGTGCAAGAAGCCTTTTGGTAACACCGCCCCACCCCGATGCCAACCCAGTGGGTCTGAGGATGACCCCAGGGCAATAAGAGCTGACATTTATTAAGTGATTAATTTGTTTTGTCTTATCTGACCCTCAGCAATGGAGTGAAGCAGGCATTTGGAGGTTATGGCATTAGAGACTCAAAGCTGGAAGGGACCTTAGAAGTCATCTGGTCCAATTCTCCCATTTTACAGATGGGGATACTGAGGTCCAGGGAGGTTCAGTTCATATGAGCAGAGCTGCAGAGCTGGAGCTGAGGCTTCTAGAGAATATGGGATCTAACCCAGCTCACATAGTCAGTCTGAACCTAGGTCTTCCTTTCACTTTGAGTCACAACTTTCTGGTCCCTCTACTAAATGAAGGTTCTCGGCTCTTTCCATTCTCCCTCCCCCATCCAAGGGTGGGGGAGTTAGGCCCATCATTTCCTCTTGGCATGAGGTCTGGGCAGCACAGGGAGGGAATGGGACAATGGAGGCAAACTGGGCTGGCTATACCTCCCAACTACCAGCCCTAGCTGGCCAAAGTCCAGGACCCTCCACTCCCCCTCCAAAGCCTCCTTAGTCCAGCAGCAACCCCTGGTCCAAGGTCCTATTTGAAGCTGAGCAAAAAGATTCTACACCTTCTCTCTCTACTGAAAACCCTCAAAAACCAAACCCTAACCCTAAATTTCCTTTTTTGGATCCTCAGTTAATTCAGGCCAGAGAGCCAAAGAAGAGGGAAAAGTGTCCCAGCTGCAGTGTGTCCCCTTGGCTCCTGTCTCTGCCCTCAAATTACTTAGTCCCTCCGCCTTCTTGGGCCCTGAATCCCTCAGCTCTCTCCTCTGCTCAGTTCCTCAACTTACTCACTTCCCATGACCTACTCTTCTACCTTACCTTGGGTATTTATAATGATGGTTATACCCTTAATCTTGCCATCACCTACAAATACACCACTTCTATCTTCAAGAAATCTGAAATCCCGTTATTTGATCAAAGCCTATTATAATTCTTCAGCCTTGCAACCCCAAACCCTGTTCTTTACTATGACCT